AAACATTATAAAAAGACCTTGTACCTTAGATTCATCACGGTCTTCTGCAGTAAATTTTTCAACCACAGAGGGACGCACAAAGACTACCAGACAGCAGCCACGCAGGAAATCTCTCACACACTTGAGCCAAAGGCGACAGGAAAGCAGATATGATCCCACCAAGTTATAAAAAAAATTAACCTTACGAACATTAATGCATCTATGTCCAGATTTAATCCACAAACGCAGAAAGCAAAAGGAGGAATGCTGAGTTAGTGAAACAAGAATGAAACCCTCCCCTGCGTGCTCTTCATCACCAGCAGATATCTTCCTCAGGATCTAAGTAGCTACTGTCTGAGGCCAGTGTGATTGAATGTCACTTTTATTTGCATAAACCACTTAACGTCATTGTCTCGGCAATCCAGTCTTGTCCAAAGGAATTAAATTGAGTACAGCAAATGCTGGGGCTTCAGTATCTTGCGGCTATTAAATCTACTCATGCGTGGGACGCTGATTTCGTTTACGTAATTTGGCAGACCGAGCTGCATTCTGTGTACTCAGGACTTTACAGTTTTGATTCTGACCTTCCTGTCACATATCATACCTTTGCACAACTGTCCTTCTTGTGTGTTATTTAATAGAAGAGGAATGTGCTCAAGAAAATATCAAGAATTCTTCCACTTCCACTTCTGGCAATATTATATAATATAGTTCCAGAGTCTAATCAAATATAAAGTTCATGTTTAAAAGATAAGGCGTGATGACCGTAAGGGTTCAATTTCACAGGGGCGGCAGGGTAAAGGCAGAAGAGATGATTTCCAAAGCAGAGGCAGACATTACTGTAGGCGCCTTTGTATACCTCTGACACTTATGGTGCATTGCAAATACACTGGATTTATTGTGTGCGCACGTGTCCACAGATGCCCACTGTTATAAACATTATAAAGTGCAGCCAGTGGATCGGCAAGATGCCACGCTATGCGAAGGAATACTTCACAAAGATTTCTGTATGCAGCCGTTCTCTATGTGATTTCAGCTCTCACTGCCTTTGTTCAGGAGACACATGTTCACCTGAGATCTTCTCAGCTTCACGCCCTTTCCTCTCTCTCTGTCTGGTTGTTGTGTTTCTCAGGAAATATAAATGTGTGGTGTGGTTTGTCAGTGTGCATAACAATGAGAAGAGCATCTTTAAGTGGATGCAATGATGCAGACAGGACAAGACAGATGGGACATGGAATGTGGGTTGACAGCAGTGTGAATATTTCTGTAGTGTGGCAACATAAAACACTGTTGTTTTTTTTACAATTGCGTTTGTCTTGTCAGTAATCAGGCCCTATGAACACCCTTAATGTACAGCTTTTATCAGTGGTCCTATCATACCCCAAATTTCTGGCCATCGTTTATACTTTATTGACACTGTTGTGAAGACACTACAATGCTTTAATGCTTAAAAATGATTAAGCATGCATTGTATAAAATGAAATAAAGAAACCAGTGAGGTTTCCAGGATTACAAACTTTGCCCTGTGATGCTTTTTTAACATGCTAGCTGTTTCCCCTTTGCTTCCAGGCTTTATGCTAATCCAAGCTAATCACCTCCTGGCTTTAGCTCCATACTGATATCAATTTTCAAAACGGTCGCAAATAAGCGTGTCTCCCAAAATATTGAATTATTATTTTAAAGCATAGTTGCACTTTATTAGAACTTGGGTCTAATTTTTTCACTTTTAGACATTATTTCTATCAGCTATGTTAACATGTACTCATCAAAGTAAATACTGACATCTGGGAACATGGCACTAATTATAATGAAATCTGACAGTCTCACTTTGACATCCTTGGAGAAATATCAAAAAGACAACTATTTGCTATGAGAAGGGGAAAAAGTTTCAAATGAACAAATGTGCTTTTCTGAGATTTGCTCAGAAAAAGTTATTCCAGTCTCATTTTAAGAAATCTTCCTCCTCATAAGGTTTCACTTCAGCCAGATTATCTAAACCCCTTTATTTGAAGGAAACACCCAAACTTAGCACACCTAAAACCTGTCTGATTATAAGACTGCTCGTATTGTTAGCCACATCAGGGAAATTTTTAATAATGTTGCCAGGTTCCCAGATTTCATCAAATAACATGACGAGTACAATATTATTATTTTTACCAATAACAGAAACTTCCAAGGAAGGTTAAAATCAAGGGCAACTGGATTTGGTTGAAGATACTTGAAAACGTTTGCCTCTTATCTTCAGTTCTGACTGACGGACAGGGAGTCCCAGCCATTTAACCTTTCATCTCTTCCCAAGAGAGTGAACAAACTCTCACATTTGACTTCATGTGACATTGCCAGTGACGGTCATACACTCTTGGCCTCACGTGACGGGTAAGAGGTGAAACATCTTCCAGTATCTTCAACCAAGTCCAGTTACCCATGATTTTGACCTTCCATGGACTATGACCTGCATGACTGTGAATCTTCACAGACAAATTAAACAAAGAAATTATTTCCAAAACTACCAACATAACAACATAACACCCGAGTTAGCTCAGACCAGACACTTGAGTCCAGTTTCACTCACGGCACATTGTATCCGTCATAAAGTGCTACAATAATGCAGTAATAGTTCTTCATCTTCATCCATCGTCAACTGCTTTTCCTGCATACAGGGTCACAGGGGGCTGGAGCCAATCCCAGCTGACATAGGGCAAAAGGCGGGGTACACCCTGGACAGGTCGCCAGTCCATTCCAAGGCCAGTAATAGTTCTTGAGCCACATAATTATACCGCAAATCACTGTAAATACAACTCCGCCTTGCAGTTTTACCGCTCCCTTATGTAATTTCACACACCAAAAATGCATGAAACTGGGCAAACACGGGGTGGAATTACAGATGTGACTCTGCAGCGCTCATTTATATTTAATGACAGAGAGCAGGGCTTGAGGAGGACTTTCATTTTCCACGGAGAAGGCTATAAACTAATCAATAAGTAATATAAGGATGATTTACAGGGATCCACTGAATACCCCTGAGGACTGGGCCCTAAGGCCTTGTTCAGACTGTCATTCCACATGTGTGTTTTTTTTCTACAGGTGCTCAGTCCGGACCATAGACTGGAAACTCATACGTTTCTGAGCAGTTTTTGACACTTCCTAAATTTCCACTGCCTAAACCTAACAAATCTGGAACCGTTTAGAGGGTATGTCGTGTAGTACTGTGCACTCGCAGAAAGACCTACTTCGGACATGGTGTGACAGAGGAGTTGACAACGCGATTGTTTGGAGGGCGAGATGATAGATCTCCATTTCTCTTACTTTTGCGTTGGAAAGCCACGTCACCAGGGTACCTAGTTACTGACACCTATGTGGTTATCACAGCAAGTCATGCAGAGAGGCTGGTGATTGCCATCAAGATCACAGAACCTTCGTCTATAAACACTATGAACCAGATGACAGCTTCAGATCTTCAGGCAATATTGATTAAAAATCAGAGTTAATCATTTGCAGTTTGGAATAACATGTCTGAAGGTCTCAGACTGACTAAATCTGTATCATATTTCCAATCTTCAACCTTTTTATATGGACTTGCTTTCAAGAAATTATCTTTTATTATTGGTATCGACCCTTCTTTTATGACTCCTGCCTTTCGTTTTTATTGCTTTCGCATTAAATTGAATGCATTTTATATACAGTTCTTTGTGTTCTGTTATTAAAACAATAAGATTACATAGGTTTGAATGAAACATGCTGGGTACCTATACTGGGACAAATATTTAAGTGCAAGAGAACAAAACAAAGGGTTTAGTCGAATTAAGGGGTAACACCTTTGTTTTAAGGGTCACTAGAAACTCACTGGGTACCTATTTAGGGATTAGAGTACATTAATATTTTTACTGGCAAAATTGAGAATGTCTGAAAGTTCCTCCAATCAACTTCACACTTGTCGGGTGTATCACTGAGGACCCAAGGAATACAGTGTCTCTCTTGAGATTTATGTTTAGATGTAGTGCGTTACTACCACCGGAAGTACCACCATGTAGTGTATTGAGAGGGGACTTCTATAAACTGTTACACCAGCACATTCAAGAATGTATGAAGAAAGAGAAACTGGAGAGACCAGATTCCAGCAAAGTCTTGTATGTTTGCTATTTTGTCTGGCTAAATATTTTAAGCATGATCTTTGTAACTTGGTGGCCTTGGTGGTAAGCCTGGTTCCAAAATGTAGCTGTAAGTAATAACAGCAGACAGTTGATTATTACACGTTCAATATTAAGTTGAACGGATACTGCGCTAGTAATAAAAAACATGAACTTTTTCAGCAAAATTTTGTCCAGCTTTAACAGAAACTTCAGCGTCTTTTCTGCTTTGCTCTGCTCAGCTGCTGCAAAATAAACGTAAACTATGGGGGAAAGAATCCCCAGGCCACTGCTACATTAAATAATTCTGACCCTTATTCATCCCCCCTAAATGTTCTGCTTGCCAGCTGAACAGCAGGCCAACAAAGGACCAACCAGAGGCCCCTAAGCGATCTGCCTAGACAGGGCTGATGGTGAGCCGCCACCCTGCAGATCTCTTGCTGGCTTTGTACTCCTTTATATTATAATTTATAAATTTGTTCAGTTTAACTGTGCCACTGCAGTAATGGTGGTGTCACTTGAGAGCGCAGCACTTGAATCAGCCAGCAGATTAATATGTGCATGTTTTAATAATGATGTTAAAATGGCGGGGAACAGTGATATACTTTTGGGATGCATCGAACAATCAAAACTGATATTGAAGAACAACCTACAACAGCTTTACCATGTCCTGCTAGGTAATGACCATTACTTTTAAGAGAAAGTGCATTGAAAATGTGGAAGCGAGCTCCCCTATTGTAGAGTAAGTCCAGGGTGTGTGGGCTGCAGAATAAAGCATCTCCCCGTTTGCCCCTTTTTACACATAAGTAGTGTAGTTTCCACTTTGGTACCTCTTCTGTACAAAATATTTACACTGTCACTGACGGGCCTTAATCAGAAAACAATGCACATTACCTAGTGATTGTCCGGCAATGACCCTGGTGTTCTCCCCTCCCACGGCTGCCCTGGCGTTCCTCTCACTGGCGTACTGAACGAAGGCGTAGCCCTTGTGCACCGAGCAGCCCACAATCTTGCCGTACTTGGCAAAGATGGCCTCGATGTCGGCCTTGGTTACCACGGCCGTGTTGAGGTTGCCAATGAAGACGCGGGAGTTGAGGGAGCGCGGGTCATTCTTGTTGGTCACGTTGCTGGTCTGGGTCTTCCCAGTCATCCTAGTCCTGCAGCAATGCCTGCTGGAAGACACATTTGCACACTGCTCAGAAAGCCAGGAAGGTTAGACTGTAGAGGTTACACACTGAAAGCCAAACAGTGAGCACCAGTGGGATGTGGTCACAGCTGAAAGCATATGTTGTAGATAATTGCACGGTTTTTCTTTTTTATAAATCCATTTTAAACCCCACTGGATGGTCAGAACAAATTGCAGGAAAAGCATTTTGAAGATATGGTACAATATTTTTACCAAACATCTTCGATGTGCTGGTCACAGCAGAGGCTTGATTTATGGGATCATATTTTCTTAATTGTTTATAAGTGAAGTGAAAACTAAAAACTAGAAAGCTACAATTACAGAGAATTATTTAGAGCTGCAAGTAATGATTTTTTCATTTATGTGTCATAGATTTTTCGATTAATCGTCAGAAAATAGTGTCCACAATAATTTTCTAAAGCACAACCTGATGCCTTCTAGTCATAGCTGGAACTAATGATTATTTTTTTAATGAACAATCTGGAAATTACTCTCTTGATTAATTGATGAATTGTTTATATAGTCAAGAAAACATCAGACAATAGTGAATAATGTTTATTTGAGTTTTCAGGTGTCTTGTTTTGTCTGACCAAAAATCCAAAACCCAAATATAAGTCAACTTTGATGTAAAACAGAGAAAAGTAGAAAATCCATACATTGGAAAAGCGAACACTTTTGAAATGTTGACAATTTTTCCTTAAAAACTTACTCAAAATGATGAATCAATTATGAAAATAGTTATTAGTCAAGCTGTCAATCGACAAATTGATTCATCAGCTAATCATTCAGCTCTACTTCAAATAGCTCGTTTTGTCTGAACAACAATCTAAAACCCTAAGAAATTAAATTTACTATCATAGAGGACTAAGAAATCCAACATATATTCACATTTGAGAAGCCAGAACCAGTAAATTTTGGACATTTTTGCTTAAAAATTTGTAATATTTTTCTCGACTAATTTATTAATTAACTAGTCGTTTCAGCTCTAGAAACATCACACCACTACTACAGGCGTGGATGTCCCATTGTCTCCAACTGTACTCTATATCCAAAGCCAATGTCTATATTCATTGAGGTCCAGAGAGCATGGAGGCTGACACATATTGCTGTCTGCAGAAGGTGAGAGATATTCTGACATGGCACCTATGATTCAGACGTGTGAATCTGATAAACCACACTATATATAAGAACTGTATTCCCACGTGTGAAAATAGCACATCACACTCACTGTTTCTCCTCTGTTGTTTGCTTTTTTTTTTGTTCTCTCCATGTAAAATGCTAGTCCAGCTGTTCCAAGTATCAACTGGTGGAGGACAGTAACTAAGTAGATTTACTCTACTGTACTAAAATACAATTTTAAGGTACCATTTTATGCTCTTTATACTTCTCCTTTACTACATTTTGTAGGGAAATATTATACTTCTTACTCCACTACATTTATTGTGTACCACTACAGGTATTAGTTACTTTACAGATTAAGATTTTACACACAAAAACATATTATAAGCTTATAAAATACAATGCATCATTGAAGATTAAACCAGTGTTTAGCTTGTGACCCCATACAAAGAGCAGTGTGTTGCTGTAGTACTTTGTCATGTTTAAATCCAATAATTCACAAAAAAGATTAGAGAAAAGTCCAATAGATGATTACAGACTTGTGTGGCAGAACTTTGTTTGTTTCTTCTTTCCTCTCCCATTAATCATCTCATCAGCCCCTAGGATTCATCCTGTGACCCTTTAGAGGGAGTCGACCACTGGGCTGAACTACCTACAACGTCTGTATATAAAGTAGTTAAAACTAGCTCTACCTCAACCAGCTTCAAAAGTAAGAAGGTGTTGTATATTACTGTAACAATCCAAAAATGTCATATATACACATGAGGCACAGGGACATATTACTGCAAATTGAGTACTTTTACTTTAGATACTTTAAGCACATTTTACTAGTAATACTTCCAGTAGGAGTTTGGAATGAAGGCTTACGTAAAGGAGTATTTTGGCATTGTTGTATTGGTTCTTTTACTTAAGTAAAAGACCTGAATATTTCTTCCACCGCTGGTACTAACAACACAGATTGTAAATGAACCAACAACAGCTTCATTACTGTCAAACAGAGAGAAAAAAAGATTTAGCTGGACACTTCAAATACACTACAACCCCCTGCAGCCTGCACTGTTTGTTACCATAATGCTACAGTCCTCTGGGGGAATCAGGAATTGTCACCATGGCAATACATCCACTCAAAGATGCTGGCTGTTGCCTCTTGGGATTCTCACTCTGTGTGTGTGTGTGTTTGTGTGTGTTTATGTTTGTGTGTGTGTGTGTGTGTGTGTGTGTGTTGTGTGTGTGTGTGTGTGTGTGTGTGTGTGTGTGTCATTCCACAATGAGGCTTTTAAACCCAGATTTCACAAACTGTACAAACATTATTCTCACAGGAGAAGCTTTTATGAGGCTGAAAGAGCAAGAAAACTATAAGTAGCATTAATACTCAGTGGTTTACTTTAGAGTTGAAACTATTAATCGATTAGAGGATCAAATTAAAATCAAGATGCTATCTATGTTAATCTATTACTTAATTAAGTCATTTTTAAAGCAACAGTTTTATTCTTCCTCTGGTTCCAGGATCTCAGTTATGAGTATTTGCTCCTTTTTGGTTTTATGTGGTTATAAACTGTTTAGATTTGGGTTTTGGAATGATGGTCGGACAAACAAGCAATTTGTAGATGTCACCTATTGATGTTTATTCTGGTTTACGTTATCTCCCCGTGTTCTCTAAGGTCTTCCTTAGATTAGGGCTGCAGTTTATGATAATTTCATTATCAATTAATCTGTTAGTTCTTTTGTGGATTAATCGATTAAAATGTCAGAAAAAATGAAAAATGCTCATTAGTATATCACAGAGTTGAATAGAATCATGGTTACGCAAGTTTTGCCCGACCAACCGTCCAATACCCAAAACTATTCAGCACATAATCAACTTCTTGTTTAGACAAAATCATATAGGGTCTATTCTAATTTCCTCATTTGATCCAAAGACATGCTGCTCAGGTGAACGGGAGACTCTATTTGTGAATGTCTTTTAATCTGTTAATATTTCATGGCTCCGTCTCAAACCCATCAGGGGCTTGAATAGAAATGAGTAAGTATAGGGAAAGGATGGAAAAGTGTAATAATATGTACAGGTATTTTCTAAAAATATTCTCACACACATACACAAACACTCTCTGCAGTCAATCGTCTCTTGGGCACACTTCCCATCACAATTTTCCCCCATCCTACATGTTCCTTACTTCCATCCTTTACCTCTTCCCACACATAATCCACTCTAAATCTCCTCTGCCGTTCTACAAAAAAAATAAAAAATCCCCTTTTGCACCTCACAGAATGGAAGATAATTTATCACTGCTACGCTTTCTATAATGTGGCTATGCTGTCATTGAGTTTTCTGGAGTTGATTAACTTAATTATCAACAGAGCCAGGGACTAAAAAGCCCACCAGTCAATCTAATCCAATCCAATCCCATTCACTCCATTTCTACCTTTGAATAACCTCAGCCTCGGTGCCTAACCCAACCAACTAAGTGACTGATGGATGTGAAGTGCATTGAATGGCCTCTTTAAGGCGAATGTACAGAGGTGAGGCCATTAGACGGTTGATTAAGCAAGCAATAGCACATTTTTAAGCAGATTTAATTGGAGTCAGTGTGAGTCCACTAATTCAAGACCATACTGAGCTGGGATATAGTGCCAAATGAAAGCACTGATTGGCTTTTTCTGATGAAATGCTAGTTGAACTGGTTGAATGAAGTGTTTGGTGAGAAAGACTGCAGTAGCCAGTCAGGAAGAAGTGACCAAAGGAAAAATGTTATTTTATTTGTAGAGTCAAAAGTGGAGAAATGTGGCAAGCCTATGAGAAGAGCAACAAAATAAGAATGTAATACAGAAATAAAAAAATACTAAAACTACAACGTGTCACACTTCGACTTGTTCACATTGAATCCGTCTAAAAACCAAAGTGTAAAAATAACAAGTTGGTAGTGTTATTTTTTGTAGGATGATTTCTTTGGGTGCAGATTTTGTGTTACATTAAACACACAGTACCAAACATGTTCAGTGATCTTTAGAGGTGCTGGTAGGCAGATTGTTGTCACCTTCAGCCAGAGCCAGGCTAGCTGTTTTCCCCTGTTTCTAGTGTTTGTGCTAAGCTAAGCTAAGCGTGTCCTGGCTGCAGTCTCATACTCAACGCACAGACATAAGCGTGGTATCGATCTTCTCATCTAAGTCATTGCAAGACAGCAAAGATGCATTTTTTTTTTTTAAATGTCTAACAATTGCATTAATGTGGCAAGCAGGTGTAAATTTTTATTCAAAATTTTCACTTTTAGCAATGTGTTGAATAACGCATGGGGTGATGGAGCAAAAACTTTCTTGATTTAAAAAGAAAACTTCAGGCTTCTCAAAGCCTGAGGGCACAGTCTCATAAAAAGCAAATGCAGCTATGGACCAGAAGAAACAGTTTTTTAAATGTCTGCATCTGTTTTGAATTTCAAGCCTGATGCAAACCTCCTTATGGACACGAGACACTGGTTTGACTAATGGTTGTAGTTTTCTGCAAAGTCTGTAAACTTGTCAAACTTCTGTTAGCAGATGACAGCACTGAATGGTCATTGAGCAACTACTGAACTCGTGCTTTAAACAACCGCAGGCTGCAGCTGGTAAAAATATCCAACTATAAGCAATCTATGGCCTATTGAGGCATTCTCTCTTTCTCCACATGCATCACCTAACACCCCAAAGCTGCGCGACCATTATTTAGTCAATTATACGTTTTAAATTAAAATGGTCACAAGAAAGAGCGCGTTACATTATACCTCTAGCTGATTCAAAACGGAAAAAAGACATCAAAGATGGTTCTTTTACAATATTCATGAGTCTCTGAGATCCTCAAAGCCTTTTAAGAAGAACATGTGGCATAACTGCTGG